ATCATCTACTACTACTACTACTACTACTACTACTACCACTACTACTACTACTACTACCACTACCACTACTACTACTACTACTACTACTACTACTACTACTACTACTACTACTACTACTACTAGTCCTGCTGCTGCTGCTACCACTAGTACGACGACGACGACGACTACTACTACTACTACTATTATTATTATTACTACTACTACTACCGCTATTACTACTATTACTACTACTACTACTACTACTACTACTACTACTTTTGTTGTTCTTGTTATTGTTATTAAAGTTATTGTTCTTATGGTTTTGGTATTGTTGTTTTTCATTATTATTCTTGTTGTTCTTATAGCTGTTATAGTTATGATAACATTATTGCTATGATTACTTATTAATATATATCTTTATGGCTACAATGATATATATTCTTTGTTTTGATTATGGTTGGTATTATAATCATTATTATTACTGTCATTTACTATTAATACCATTATACTACCATGACAAATATTCTTTGTACTATTCATGATGATATGGTTGTTTGTTAATATCATTCGAATTAGTAGTATCGTTGGTAGACTGTTCAGTAGACTGGTGCAGTGGCCGAGGCACAATGTCAGCGTGATTCCGGGCACTTCCAACCCGAAACATCAAGCAGCTGCTTGGATGCACAAAGGCTCCAAAGCTGTCCTGCTGTGTGTAGTTCTGATGATGTTGGGATTGAGTCAGGAGAATTTGCAGATCTTCGATTTCGAGCTCGGCAGCAGGATGCCCAACTGTTTTCCCAGAAAGATGCTGGATGCCGTGTCGAAGGGTGTTGCTGTCCCTAAGTCGCTAACACATTGAGGTTGAGTCAGTAAGAACAGGCAAGACGACTGCATTCAACATGGGCGGGTCGCATAGTCGAAAGCGCACCGGGGAGGCTTGCGCCGGTGACCATCACCAGGCACCGGTGATCAGGTCAAGACCTGTGGTCGAGGTGGAACCTGGAACGTGACCGATATCGACCGCTTTTGGGAAGGAAGCCTTACCGGCAAGAAAACTTGGTACAGAGGTCGAGGGCCAGGGCTTCGGCTCCTGCAGTAAACGGCAGCAAAAGAGCTAAGATCCTGGACAAATCGTAGCAGCAGGCAGCCTTCCATCTGGGTGGAACTCTTGTCAACGATTTTCGACCAAGTCATCTCTTCAACAAGGGACGGTAACGCATCGAAACCGTGATGATTTTCTTAGGTCAAGAGATGGCTCTGCTCGATGGCATTCCAGAAAGTGAGCGGATGCTTTACTTCGGACATACGCCTGATGAGTTCGAGTAGAGTAGGATACAGAAGTTCGCTTAGGTGCAAACCCTGCGCCGCGGCAGGAAGAAATGGCCGAGAGCAAATCTAGATGCGGGATTCAGCGGTAGCTGACACAGCAATCTGTGCCAGGCACCGATCCAATCTGGCTGCAGGCTGCCATCGTGGCTGGCGTGTGCGGCTTATCTCAGGCCCAGCAGGATCACAGACGGACATGACATTCTTCAACAACTCGGCCCATGCCAGTGGATTCGGGTGGCACTTAAAGCCACCTCATGCCCCCCCAACATTGAATGTGTTTCAGAATTTCACGGCTGTCCGCTGCTCAACCGGCATGTTCTACTATGGCACCGGAAACATATTCCACGATGATCACAGGTTCATTGAGTGTGGTACCGGCCACTTCATGAACCATCTCAGCAACGGACCGCACACGGCACCTTTTTATCACAACCTGGTGTTGGTGGGCAACATTGACCAAAATCCAACCTTCTCACGCGGTGGAGTTGGTGTTAGAGGACCCAAAGACAACGAATATTTCTATGTCTCCGGACTGACTGTCATCAACTATTTGCAGTCGGCTGTGCTCCACGGCTGCTTCGAGACAACCTGCACGATGAGATACGAACGGATCCGGTGGTTCAACTCGACCCGGCGCACCTACAGCTATCCCAGTCAATCTGGCATCTACTGGGACATGGACGGAACTTTGACTGGCTACACCAATGGGTTCGTATCACTCAACTACGAGTACATGCACTTCCCTGGAATTTGCGCTGTTGTTGATGAGCACGTCAATGGCGTCATGTGTGGTGCATCGGACGGCTCAGTGCGAGTGAGACGCCTCCTGGTAAATGAGCAGCAACCTTGGCAGCTCGACGGAAAGTTGATGAATGTTCGAACATCGGCTGGGTTCGATCAAGTGAAATACGACACGAAGAAACTCAGTGGTTGGCCGGTGATCGTGCTTGAGAACGAGACCTTCGACACGCGCGTCGATGATCCGAATGATTTCCAAGAGCTGGCCTTCCTGTATTCCCAACGGCCTTATGTCATGGAAAGCCTGGGGTACATATACAACCAGACCACGCCCATGGATGAAGCGATCATTGTGCATGTCAACTTCACAGACTGGCGTGATCATTATGACGCTGATGCATCAACAGCGCCGGCGTCCCAGAAGATAGGTGACATGATGCAAGTCTGCTCCTGCATTTCTTGACCTGCTCTTCCGTTTCAGCTCACTTCCAGCCGCATACGGCTCAAGGAAAGGCCTAGGTTTGTCGCAGTATGGCACAGTTCGCTTCTCTGCAAAAAAAGCTTTGCCTGCCCTTTTGCAACAGGAGCAAGGTGTCGCATCGTCAGCAGCCCCAGCAGGTTAGAAACCGCTCAGCTGGGATCATGCCGCCTCCATCGATTCGAGGTGTGAGGGAGTTTGAGCTGCCCGGTCCCGGCCGACTAGTACAAGGCGGCGCAGATGCTGTCAGATGCTTCTACAAAGAGCCGGGCACCATCATCGTGAACTGTGCGCGCCGCTCTGGTGCTGCGAGCGTGGAAATGCGAGGAGAGGTGGAAATCTATTGGCTGCCCATGACCGAAGCAAACATGGAGCATGCTTGCAAATGCTACATGAACGAGTACGGGCAGACACTGCTAGCAGCTTGACAGAAGAGGGATAAACCACCGTCTGTCCCTAGACTGCCTACCTCTTGCATTGCACGAAACACGTCGCGAAAGGATGCGTTGCAGCAGGGGAAGACCGTGGCAGTGCACTGCAGCTTGGCTGAGAGCCTCTTAAAGTCGCTTTCTCTCAGCAGTCTCAGCTCTCTCAGCTCTGAGGTCAAGAAGGCGTCCACCGATCCCTGGAGTTTGCCCAGCAGCTGCACGCGTGGGCGACGGGGAAACGCCCGACGGAGACAGGCCCGGTTCACCTGATCCTGACCGCCCCGCTGAGGTTTGCCCTAGCAGGTTGAGGCCTGACATAAGTGGCAAGGCCTTCCGATCTCCATGCCCGAGCTGCCGGAGGCGGAAGGGAGGGAGAGGCTTCGGACATTTTTGAGCTGAGCGGCTGCAGAGCCGAGGAGGACAGCGAGCAGGAGGAGGTCGAGGTAGCGGCTGCGTAGCCGCGTAGCTCCATCCCCTGAGAATCGCTCGATGCGCTCGGGAAAGAAGGACTCGCACCTCCTCCAGGAGTCCTTTCAGGGACCGGCAATAATTGCGAGGAGGAATGTAAGAAGCAGCAGCTGCAGCATGTGACTTGTACATTGTGGCCTGCTGATGAAGTCCAGGATTGTACAGTGTATAGTAGACTTTCTTAACGATCTTTACTCCTGAGATCGTGACGCGAGAAAGCTGTGACGACTTTCTGCACGAGTGTCGCGGGAAAGCTTTGCAACAACCGGTCCGAGCAATACTTCATAAGACTTCATAGTGGTGCACTTGCGAGTCACGGCTTCTGAGGCTTCGGCTGGACCGCATGCCCACGCGAGATGACCCATTCGGTTCGCACTCGATGATGCTATGGCCAGGGGCCCGGAGGGGCCCGGCCCAGCCCTACCTCCCAGCCACCGCTCACGACGGCAGTGGTCCGAGGCAAGACCAATGTGATGAGTTCAACCTGACAGACGAGGTGTCGGACAAGTGCAACTTGATCGCAGTCATGGCTTGCCATGCAAAACGCAGAGGGAATCTTGCTTGTCTGCTTACTTCCACCATTCTTTACTTGCGAATCGCTCGAGACCTTCGCCTTCAATTAAGCCCGGCGGCTTTGCGGCCACGTAATCAGTCAGTGGTACAACGAAGATTGGAGTAACCCTAAGACGGCTGTTTCATTGCAAGACATTCGTGCGCTTCTGGCGCTGGTCAACATCTGGCTGGGAGCCATGCATGCCCAAGGTGGTGTTTACGTGAATGACACTGGCCTGGCATTGAAGGCATGGGATCTACTTCAGTTGCTTGGCAATCCTTGTTGAAACGTGCTTCGGGCCTCAGTGTGTTAACCCTGGAGAACTGCTGCTTCACCATCTGCTGTTGGCTCAACAGGCAACCACACTTGACGTAGGATTTTTCACCAGAGATTTCAAGAAAGCAATTCCTCAAAGTTCACAGCAGCCTTACTTTCGAGTTTAGTTGCTTGCCGTTCTTGCTCTGTTTCCGGCTGGCTTGAGCCCTGCCGTGCTGCCAGCAATTGTTTTTTTGATATATAGATATAGTGCCTGAGATGGGGACCTGGGGTGCTGCCGGCCTTGAAGTTTGGACCAGAGATGCAGAGGCCGGGAACTTAGTTTGACAAGGACTGGAATATGGTGTCTGGTGGTGCAAGCTGCATCACTTCACATAACAAATCATTCAGTATTATCCTATTAAATTGCAGTTAGAGAGGACATTCTGTCCAGAATTGCATGTACACGCTTTCCGCAGAGAGAGTGAGAGGGAGAGAGAAAACGAAAGGGAAGGAGGAACCCTTAACAGACGGGCAGGCGATCGATCCAAAGTGTGATGACCTGCATGTTCCTTGCTGCCGTCCCTCGCGTGTTTTCAGCTGTTGCCCTCGTTTACATCGACGCCTCACCCAAAATAACAGCCTGACCAGCTCTGCCCCGCAGGCTCTTAGCTTACCTTTTAGTAGGCGATTTCGGTCTTGTTGACTTAACCTTCCATGACCTGTAGCTGCGATGGAGGCTGTAGTGTCAGCGTAGGCCCACGTACCAATGGATTGCGAGTGGAGATGTATCTGGATAGTTGGTTTGAGTTTGGGTTGTGTTCCTCAGGGCTGAGATTTGTCCTTTTTGCGCGAGCACTCCATCTTTTGGGCTTGCACCACTGGCATGCGCGACAGGCGGGGGCACGACGCGCGAGGCAGCTCCCCACCACAACCCTGTGGAAAGAAAAGAGAAAACGGTGAGGGGGACTTGTTCCCCTTGCCCCTAGCCCTGGCGAAAGAAAAGAGACCACAAAAAAAGAAGATGGACTGTTGGTGCCCCTTAAAGCCTCTAAACAGGGGCGCGCCTTTCAGCGCGGGGGGCCTGACACGCCTCCTGAACCCCGAAGTGAAGTGAAGTGAAGAGA